CCCGTGCACGGCAGTGGTCCGGAGTTGTCAGCTATTAACATTTCAAAGACAATCATTTCGTGATCTCAGGGGCGATGAGGGTCACAAAGTCAGGGCACCTGCCTATTGGATGGTCAGCTGGGACTCAGTTGAGCCGTCTGCGGAATGGGACGACGCCGATGGTCCTCTGGGAAGGCAACTAACATTTACTAAGACCCAACCAGCCTTGTCAGATGTCATTTCATTTACATTTGCAACCAAGTGACCCATGAGGACGAGTGGCACAGACAGAGGGGATAGCTTCCTGAGATCTCGCTGCTGGAGAGCAGCAGACTCAGCTTCTGAAGCTGGGTCTCTGGGACCGCAGCCTGGGCGCTTTCTGTGTGTCTCATCTCTCCCTTCCTGTGCTTGGAGTCTGGTCGTATTCCTCTCGCTGTAGTTCTTCTGGTGTTTCCTCGGATAAGATAGTGACCCTTCCTCTAGCGAGGCCACCCGCCTTGGATGTGCCAGCATCTGCTGCTTCCCTGGCTTCTGGGACTGAGTTCTCGCCTGTCCGGACCCTTTACCCACCCCCTCCTCCCCGACCGGGATTTCTCTCTCCAGAGGCCAGCCTTCCCTGTCCTCAAACTCCTGGCCTGAAGGCCTTACTGGGAGGAAGAAGATTGGGGTGAGTCAGTTGAGTGGGGGGTGGGAGATGGCTCAAGATGGGGTAAGTCTCATAGGCTTCCGAGGAGCCGTTTCCTCCTGGGCCTCTGGGCTGATGGACCTTGAACTCTAGAGGGAAGAGGAACCAATAAGCACTTTAGTTGAATTGGACCCGGGAAGACACCTGCCCAGGTGAGCGGGGCTGCCGAGGGTGGAGGAAGGTGCTAATCGTGGCTGCTCGTGGGTGGTCCTGGTCACTGAGCTTGACCTGCTGGGGCACACCCTGCAGCCCGGAGCTGGGGGCTTCCTCCCTGGCTCCTGCGCATCTCACTCTGTCTGAATGTGGCTGGAAAACACAGCCCCCTGCTCACCGTGTAGCGAGAAAGAGCACCGTTCAGAGGGTCCGCCTGCCCGGCCAGTCTTGGCCATCATTTTTAAAGAGGTGAACCCCCAAGAGAAGAAACTCTCCGCTACCACCGAGCATAGCACTGTGACTATCACAATAATAGCAATGTACGGGGAGCTTAGGTGAACCCCCAAGAGAAGAAACTCTCCGCTACCACTGAGCATAGCACTGTGACTATCAGTGACTATCACAATAATAGCAATGGCCACGGTGTACGGAGAGCTTACAGGTCGCGTGGGACCTGTGTGCAGCAGGTACTAGCGAGAAAGGTGTTAACTACTTCCGGCCAGTGCAGACTGGGATTTTAACTCAGATCTAGCAGCAAACCCCGTCCTCGTAACCAGTGCGGTGGTGTCTCTGCCTCTCTAGTGCACCGTGCCGTGGGCGAGTCCCTCCCGCCTTTGGACTCTGTGCACACCTGTAAAGAGAGAGCAGCACCAGCTCGTAGCTGCTTTCCGGTTCTGACGTGCTGTGATGTTTTTGTGGCAGTCCTCTTCTTAAAAATGAGAATGCTTATTTTCATTTTTCCCTTATTATAACGCTCACTGCAGCATACCTGGGAAATTTGGAAAAATAGAAAGTAAACAGAAAGTCTGTAACCCTACCACCGAGCGTAACACTGTGACTATCTTAGCGAGTTTCCTTTCTGCCCTTTTCCTCTGTGCACTTTGAAAACCGAGTTGGCATCTCTCTGTCTACTGGGCCACTTTGAGTTTTCGGCCGGCTGCCTCTTTTGCTAGAGATAGTCATGGCTAGAAGGTTCTGGATCGCTTTTCAGAGAGGGAGTCATTTCAGGGGCTTCATCAAACATTTCTTTTGGCTCAGGCTCCCACCTTGAAAGCTTCCAGAATGTGAATAGCTCAAGAGAGACGTTAAAAAGAAAGAAAAAAAAGAAATAGCCTCCTGTTCACTCAGCACTTTCACACCCCTGATCTGACTCCTTCCGTGTAGCAGGCTTGCGAGATCTCTGAGCAGGTGCTGTCATGTGCACTTTACAGAGATGAAGCCCCAGGTACTGAGAGGCTGAGGAGAAGCCTGAGGTCATGCGGAGAGGACAAGGCAGAGCCCAGCCTGCAGGTGGATTCGGCTGCCCCAGGCTGCCGCCCCCGGCTGCTGCCCATTCGATGATCCCACATCCCCACAGCTGGAAGCCCTAGTCTCTGTGGGTCCCTCTGTGAGCCACGCCCAGTGTCTGTCATACTCTTGGGATATGGAATACAGACACAAAGCCTCATTTTCTGTCTCTCATTTTGGTGCTGACAGATTTAAGGACAGGTATCTTCGTGCTGTCCGAGCCTACGTGGGGCTTTGTGGTTGACCTCAGGTGTGCTGCTGGGAGCCCCAGGGGGCAGGTAGTAGGACCCCCCCATTTTACAGATGAGGACATTGAGGCTCAGCTCATCTGCCATTGGGGCTGAGACTCCAGTCTAGGTCTCTGATCCCGCAAGGTGGAGCTGTGGTCATCACAGCCTGTGCTCCGAATATTAATGGTGGCCATAGATCAGTGTATCCCAGGGACCCTTCCAAGAGCTTTACACGTTTTTGCTGTTAGTTGCTTTAATAACCCTGCAAGTCTATAGCCATGCCACCCTGAACAAGCCCGATCCCATCTGATCTCGGAAGCTAAGCAGGGTCGGGCCTGTTTAATATTGGATGGGAGACCACCTAGGAAGACCAGGTGCTGTAGGCATAAAAAATAAAAAAATAAGGGATTGTAAGTTGATAAGGTCCTTGCAGTCTGTGAGATCAACCGACAGTTGCCTCGCCTAAAAAAAAAAAAATAACCCTGCGAGATTGGTACTTTAATCTCTATCTTGCAGGTAAGTAAACTGAAGCCCAGAGTTAAGTGACTCATTTAAGTGTCTTAACTACTGCGTGGTGGGAACCAGGTGGTATCAGGTAGCCTGAACTCCTTTGTAACTGTCGTGCCTTAAGGGTCTCTAGGGATGGAAGCGGGCTGCTCTGAGCCATCCCTACTCTCTTGCCCACCACCTTGTGAGACTAAGGACATGCGTGTGCACAGTTGGAGGCCCCAGGCCTGTGGGCGTGCCTGGGGCTTGTGGGTCTGTGCCCTTGCCCGGGGACCTCCTCCTCGGAAGGAGGGACCTGCAGGAGGACTGCTGTGCAGCTGCTGTTTGGTCTTTCAGTGTGCAAAGGGATTTGCAGACATGTCAGTTTGTTTTCCTAAACTCTTTGCTGAAGATAAAATTTTCATTCTGGGAGTTTTCCACATGGGGCTAAAAGACACAGTCACTCAGTGGAGAGCAATTGGCATTCAATCAAAATTGACCAGATCTGTTTCTAGGAATGTGCCCTCGGGTTCACGGATGCTTTCGCTCAAGGCCGTGTGTATGAAGGATGTTAGTTTCTGCATTGTTTATGATACCAAAAGCCTAGAAATAACCTCAGTGTTCATTAGTAGGGATTGTGGTACATTGGTCAGTTATGGTACATTAAAAAAGTACTCTGCAGCCATTAAAGAAAATGAGACTGATTTCTGTGTACTGTTCTGAAATGATGTTCGAGATCCTTAAGCTGAAAACGTGGTTGCAGCACAGCAGGTGGGGTGTGCTTCCTCCTGTACAAAATGAGTCGATCTGTCCAGGTATGCATGTGGGTACACATGTGGGGTAGTTCTGGAGGATTCGCAGGGAACGAGAACAGTGGCCACTTCCGGGGGATTAGAGAAACTGGGGTGGGAGGGAGACTTGTTTTCATTGTACATCCTTTGCATTGTTTGGGTTTTGAGAGGCACTAGAGCATGGCGGTTACTTAAGGAACACGGACTCTGGGGCCATGGCCTTGGTTCAAACCCTGGCTCTGCCACTTACCAGCTGTGCCGTCTTGGGGAACTTACTTAACCACTCTGGGCCACATGTTCTTATTTATAAATTGGATTCATATATGTTAACATTATTTGTAAAGCGCTTGGAATGATGTCTGAGATAGAGTAGGCACTACGTGAATGTTTGCTGTCATGAATTGCCGTTTACATATATTCCGTTTTTATTTAGGAAGTCAGGTCATAGAAGTGCAGGCTTTAGGAGTAGAAGGGAAAGCAGGTACACAGGGACCTTGTGTCGGGGCCGATCAGACTGGAGGGCTGGACCCTTTCCTTTGGGATGCTTCCCTCCTCTGCAGGGAGGTCTGGGAGGGCAACCCCTAGCTCACAATTGGGGTGCCAGCAGGGATGGGGGAGAACTCTTTCTCTCAGTTCTCAGCAGGAGACATCTGGCAAAGTTGGCTCCAGGGCCCAGGGGGCCCACCAGAGGTGCTGGCCTCTTTGACGTGTGAGTCCCCATGGTGAGGCCAGCAGAAACTGTGCTCCCCAACCCCAGCATTTGGGATTCTGCCCCTATCTTGTGCCATCTGCTCCTCTTCAGCCTTTTACTTCCCTTGTACCCGTATGCCATAGTCGGGTGGCCCCTTGCCAGCTGGCCAACCCCAGGGTGCAGAACAGGGAGAGACAGAGTGAATGGCCTTCAACAGGGCTGTGGGCAGGAGCTGGTAAGAGTGGCTGGACTCTTGGTTACTGGGCAGCCAGAGAAGGAAGTGTCTGGCGACGTCCGTGATGGTCCAGGCGTGTTCCAACTTCTGGAACTCAGGGGCAGAGTGAGATCCTGGTCTTGGGCTGCAGCTTCACTTGTAAGTCAGAGGGGTCAAGGGGGTAGTCTAGCTGGACCCACCAGGCTCACAAAGCCCTTGGCAGTGGGCAAGAGGAAGGTCTGTGGTGCAGGGGACTTCTGGGAAGACGGGGATACGGTTCTGCAGCTGCCGGTTTTTCTTGGTTAATGATTTATGATGGGGGCTGGGCCCTTTCTGGGCTGTCTTGTGCTTCTGGAACTGCCAGGAAAGAAATGTGAGAGCTGACAGGCTTGAGGGCACAGGTCGTGAGCCGGTGACCCCTCTCTGTCGCCAAAACTTTGGCCTCGAACACTATCTAATGAGATTTCTGGCCTTCTTTTCACAGGCGAGTGGCTGGGACAGTGCTGATCTGAGCCGGACCTTCTCTGATGGCTTCTTCCAGCCCTCCTCCACAAGCCGCCATAGGTACCGTACCCCGGCCTTCCTGTTTGTCCCTCCTTTGAACGAAGCTGTGGGGCTGACAGAGGGCCACTGGCTTGGGGGCAGGTTGACCCCAGGTGGTTAGCTGGGAGCTCTTGGGCAAATGACTTCATCCCTTTGCCCCAGTTTCCTTGTCTGCAACAGGGAAATAATAATTTCCTGCTCACTGAATGGGCTGCAGACAAGGGTCGATTTTTCACCTGTGTCCCTAAGATCCCCTGAGCCCATCTGGGGGCAGAAGTGCGCTCGGGGATGAAACCCTCGGGGACCCGAGGGCTGAGGATGAGGGGCTGTGTTGTCCATCTCTACCTGCAAAGGTGCTAAGGTCATCCATCTAGCAGTGGTAGGGCTGCTAGAGTCAGAAAAAAAAGAAAAACATATACTAACAAAAATTTTCGTGAATTGTTTGAAATTCAATTCAACGTCCTGTATTTTATCTGGCAACCCGAGCAGTGGGGCCTCGGACACTGCAGGTGGAGGCCAGGCCCCACCCCGGAGGGGATGGACGTGAGCCGTTTCTCCTGCCAGGCCTGGCTTCCTGTCCTCTTGCCCTCTTTGGGGGAGGCAGATAGCAGAGTGGTAATAAGCGAGGGCTTTTTGGTCAGCCTGACTCAGCCACTGCCGCTGGTGTGACTAGGTGTCTCAATGGCTCCGTTTCATCACCCATAAACATGAGGATAATTATGACACCCTCTGCCATGTTGTTGCAAGGTTTAAACACAGGTAAGACTCTGGCCCGTGGTAATCGCTTATTTGGGAGCTGTTATCACTGAGGGCTGTTGGCAGGGTGGCTCCCTGTGCTGGCGTGCTCCATGAGCTCTGTCCTGAGCCAAGTTACCCAATGGGTGTGGGCCAGCACAGTGGGCCCGCCTTCTCCATGGCTTCCTGGGTCCCCGCCTCCTGGACTAACTGGGGTTGACTCTCCTGAGAATGAGGCGTGTCTGGGAACATCTAGATGTGTGTGGCCAGCTCTAGCCAGCCATGCCACCTGTCCAGATGGGTAAGAAGGGCTCGGTTCAGCTCTCAATTATCCAGAGATGGGCCTTCTGATTTTTCCTTCTGATGAGGAGTGAGGTCTGATGGCCTGGGTCTTTGGAGCCTGGGAGTAGCCCTGGGAACAAGGGCATCTCCTGGTTCATGACTGCGACTTTGGGTCCCAGGATGTCCCCGCTCTGGCTCCTGCTGCCATGGGCACCCTGTACCTTTTCTCCTACCCACCGAGGGGACCAGACAGGGAAAGTGAGAATAAAATCATTTTATGATTAAATCCATTCATTTCCATTCAAGAAGCATTTGATGGCCATTTATCGTTCTAGCTGTATATGATACTCCTGGCTAGTGTCATCTGGTTGAGCCATCAGGCTCTTTGCCACTTTCTGATTCTTTGAGAGCTTCCCATCATCTTACCAAATAAAATTCAGATTCCGTAAACACCTCTTCAGCCATCTTACAGCCCCTTCATCCTTATTCACATCTTCAGCTCAGCTGGGTCCCTTGCCGTTTGTTCTCTGTCCCTGCCGTGGCCTCAGCCGGCAGCACCTCTCCCTACCTGATCCCGTCAGACCTTCACTCACCCCTCAGGGCCCTGCGCAGGGCGGCCTCGTGCCCGAGGCCTGGCGAGCATGAGTCCCCTCCTGCCTTCCAGAGGCGGCTCAGTCTCTGCGGTTTTATGTTTTCCTCTCGCCGTATCTGCCTGCCTCTCCCCTCAGTGTGCTCCTTGATATTGAGGGGTCATGTCTTACTCCTCTTTGAACCTCCCAGCGTAGGGTCTGCTGGGAACAGATATTTTGGTCAGCCTGACCCAGCCACTACCTGGATATGGACATGACCATGTTGATCGATGGGCTAACTGAAGCCATTTGTACTCCTAAAAGGAAAAGGCGCAGAAGTGACCCAAGTCCCTGGATATGGCCTGCGCCTGGCCTGGGAGCGGGGACGGCCTTCCCATCTCACCCAGGGTCAGGGGCTAGGCTACAACTCAGGGCAGTCGTCATCATCATCATCATCATCATCATCATCATCATCATAATGATGATACAATGACTGATAATAAGGAAAACCATTATAAAAATAGCTGCTATTTAGTGAGCACATATCTGACACAGGTGCTTTATGTGTGTTAGTTCATTTCATCCTCTCAATAACTCTGCCAGGTAGTTACTATTACTGGCTGCATTTTGTGGACCAAGAGACTGCAGCTTGGAGTTTGGGGTAAAATAACTTGATACTCATATAGCCAGGGTACGGGAGAGGTGGAGTCTGAACGAGGTATCTGGCTGTGAAGCTGTAGTCACTACATGATACCTACCAGGTGTAAAAAAAAAATCGCCTGCTCAGCAGGTTCCAGTGGGCAGGGACCAAGGTCACTGAGGCCCCCTTGGTCAAGGTGGGCCTGTATCTGATAGCCCAGAAGTTGTGGGCAGGGACTTTGTGGTCATTTGTTTCACATTTTTTAAACTTTTAAAACCACAACCCATAGACACGACAGCAGGAGTGTGTGTGCGTGTGTGTGAATTCAACAAATACTTATTTTGTGCCTACCGTGTGCTGGGCACTGTACCAGATGCTGAGGATACAACCATGAGCTAAACAGATAAGAATACCTATCCTCACGAAGGTGTGTTCTCGTAGAGGAGACAGATAGTAAAATGAGTGAAACATCAAACATGTCACGTGCTCCTAAGGGCCATAGAGAAAAGTGAAGCAGGCAAGGCGATGAGGGAGCCCTAGTGTCTCTGTGGGCACTTTTGGTCAGGGCAGCCTCGCTGGGAGATGATGTATAGCAGGGATCCCCAATTCCCAGGCTGCAGACCGGTACTGGTCCGTAGCCTATTAGGAACCAGGCCGTACAGCAGGAGGTGAGCGGCAAGCGAGGGAGCGAAGTTTCGTCTGTATTTGCAGCCGCTCCCCAGCGCCAGCATCACCACCTCAGCTCCACCTCAGATCGTCAGGCGTTAAGATTCTCAAGGAGCACTGGTCCCTGGCACCAAAAAAGTTGGGGACCACTGATATATAGTAAAAATCTGGTCTACGGCCACGCCACCCTGAACAAGCCCGATCCCGTCTGATCTCGGAAGCTAAGCAGGGTCGGGCCTGGTTAGTACTTGGATGGGAGACCACCTAGGAAGATCAGGTGCTGTAGGCGTAAAAAAAAAAAAAGACCTGAAGGAGGTGAGAGCAGGAGAAGACAGCCAGGGGACGAACATTCTGGACCCGAGACTGAACGGGCAAAGGTCCTGAGGCAGCAGCATGTGTGGCACATTCGTGGTGCAGCAAGGAGACCGGTGTGGCTGGAGCGGGGTGAGCAAGAAGACGCAGCAGAAGGTTCTGCACACACTGTAGGAAACTAGAACAGACGTGTAAACAGCCATGTCAGATGTATACCGAATGTGACTTTATTCATGTTCTGTTTAAAAATATTCCCAATAAGCAGTTCATAAACAAAACAGAATGCTGCCTGGGAATCCTCTAATTGATTTTGTGCCCCACCAGTGGGTTTGAGAGCTGTCACTTAAAGCCACTAACCCAGCTTCCCCCTCAGCCCCTGCGTTTCATTTGTTAATGCAGCATCATGGGGCCAGGTGTCCGAGGTTTCGGGCGACTTCCGGGAGACAGACAGCAGCGTTCAGCTGCGGCTCCTCAGTTATTAGCCGTATGACTGTGGGTGCATTACTTTAGCTCTCGAAATCTCTGTGGCCTTGTTGTATGAAATAGGGGGTGATTGTGAGGCTTAAACACGGAGCTCATGAGCCACATTTCAGGCTCTCAATGAGTGTTTCTTCACATCTGGGGAAGGAGCGTGTGCCACAGGCACAGCACTGTCCAGAGGAGTTGACCCCGGTCGACGCCGGCCCATGGGCTCCCCAAAGCTCCCACAGGGAGGGGCTGGGCCCCCACTTTAATGGCCTTCATCTGGCCATGATCCTGCAGAGGAAGCTGGGGAGGAAGGGAGAGCTCTGGGTTTCTGCTGCGGCCGAGCAGCTGGGAAGGGGCTTCTCGAATGTGATATATTCACACCTCAAGTGTTCTGCTCTGCAAGCCCCCGGGTCACTGTGGGAGACTGGATTTTTCTGATCGGAGAGACTGCTGGAATCAGAGCTGTTTATCTGTCCATCTGCTGGTCCATCCCCCATTCTCTGCTCCATCCACCTTCCTACCTGTTCACGTATCATCCATGTTGTGGCGCGTGCTGGGGCTGGGTCCACACATGGACCAGCCGGTCCCGCCCTCAAGGATCTCAGGCTGGGAAGGGCAGTTATCACAACAGGTAATATTTTGTAACACAAATACCAGGTACTATGCCAAGCGCTCCATCTATCCAGCAGTTCTCAAGTAGGGGCATCTGGCAATATCTAGAGACATTTTTGGTTGTCACAGCTGGAGGGTACTACTGGCTCATGGTGGGTAGAAGTCAGGAATGCTGCTACACGTCCTGCAGTGTCCCCCACTTCAGAGACGCTGTAGCTTAATGTCAACAGTGGAGAGGCTGAGAAACCCTGACCTACATCTCAGTTCATGTGCACATCGGCCTCATGGGGTAGGTGCTGTTTCATTGTCCAATTTAGAGGAGGAAACCAGGTTTCAGAGAGGCGAAGTCACTGGCTCAGAACCATGCAGCTGGAAGGTGGCCCAGGCGGGACCGGCTGAGCCTGAAGCTCATGCTTTCGGTCGTGTGGCATGAGTTGCTGTAGGACTGCTTGGGGCGGTCCAAGATGCTGTCAGCCTTGTGGACTTTGAAAACCAGACCACACTGCCCTTTAGTTTGGGAGCTGGTTTGCACAAGGTGGGAGGGGCTTGGTGAACGCTTGAGGTTCTGTCCTGCCTCATATTCTAGAAGAGAAGTCTTCTAAGGAAGCAGACGGGGGACCTCAGCTGGGTGAAGGGGTGGAGATGTGAAGCTTCGTTATGAGCTTCAGGATAGAGAATCTGTTCCTTCAATTGTTTATGAAAGTTGCTGGGCTCCTACTCAGGGCCAGGTTAGAACCTATCCCCTTAAAGAGACCATTAAAAGGGACTGCTTTTAGGGACCCAAGATTGGTAGGGAGTACAAATGGGCATAAAACACATACTTACACATTCTACAGGAAAGGATGAAGAAAACAGGGGGCTGAGACAGAGAAGGGGGGCAGGACATCCATTAGTTAGGGCAGTGGCCAGAGGCCAGGAAGGATCCTTTCTGCTTGAGTTGAGCTTTGACAGATGACAGGAGGACATGCCCAGGAAGGGGGTCTTCCAGGAGGGAGGAGCACGGTGTGAGGCTGTGCTGGGAGCACACCCCTTGAGCCCTGCCCCAGCCAGCCTTCGCCCTGGCACCTGAGAGCTATTACCTTCAGGCTCCAGACTCTTCCAGACAGCTGTATTTTATGCCGCTGTGCATGCCAAGTGAAGTGCAGCGTGCAGAATGAGCCTGCCTGTGCTCCTTTGCCCACATGCAAAATGCATAGCCACATATGCACACACAGAAATACACATACATGTACTCATACGCACATGTGCAGATGCATTTAAAAAGCCCTCCTTGCTTACAAAATAGGAAAATAGAAAACAAGAGTGTGAGAGACACACATTCAAGTACAGATACACACAAACTTACCATGAAAGCGTGCTCCCTCCTCTCTGTCCACTGCCCATCTGCTTAGAGCCTTCGCCCAACCAAAGGACTTCTCAGGGGCACGGGAGGGCCGTCTGGCCCGGGCATGGGTTTCATCTAGGGTCTGGGAACTGCCCTTGTTCTCTCACTCAGACCTGCAGAGCTGCTCACCCCCTTCCAGCCATCTCTCCCTTGGCCAAACCCTGAGACTGTGGAGCCCAGCTAACTCCTCCTCCCTTGCAGGAGATCCACTGGTTCCTGGAGGAGGCCTAGGCCCCTCCCCAGAGGCGGAGGAAGACCCCGGAGAGGCCTTTGAGTTCGATGACAGTGACGATGACGAGGATACCAGCACTGGCCTGGGCGTCCCAGGCGTTGCTGCAGAGAAGGATGCAGACACACTGCTGACTCAGGGGGACTTCGCCCCTGTCACTGGTAAGGTGTTCTGGGAGCCTCGGATCCTCCTACTTTCAGGCCTCCGGGAGAGGCTGGAAGCTCCAGGCTCCCAGTGATGCCTCGTGGTCCCCAGAAAGCAGGAGGGGAAAAGTCATTGGGAAGAAGCTGCATTCCACCACCTCCCCAGGGAGCCAGGATTCCGAGCATTCCTGAAGCATCTGGTGCGCCCTGGCATATAGTAAATGGAAGTGGTTGACCCCCTCCCTGCAGCTTCTCCCTGGGAATCACACCAGCCACAGGCACAGCCTCCCAGAGGTTCCCCCAACTCGTCAGGATCGGGGAGCTGGTGGCCCTGGGGGGTGGGAAGGCCCTGATAAGGCTGGTGTTAAATGACAGCTTCTGAGCTCTTGATTCTGTCATCTGGGAGAGTCTGGGGACTGGACTAGCAGGAACTTCCTGCAGGCTTGGGGACAAGGGACTCCTTGAAGAGCCGGGGGTGGGGCCGCAGGCCCAGAGCAGGCAGGGCTGCTGGTTCTGGTTAGAGTTGGGAATTGGCCTGGGGGTGGTGGTGGGGGTGGTGCAGGCAGGACAGGTAGGGGAGCTTGATGACTGGTGAAGTGGCTGGGGGAAGGGAGACAGGCACAGCAGGCACCCAGGCTGACCAGGCCTTGTCTCCAGCGCCCTGGGGAGATTGGGAAAGGGGGCGGGGATGGGCTGAGTCCATCGGGCCAGCCTCCAGCCTGACGGGGCTCTCCCTGGACTCTTCTCCTGCAGACTCGGACCCAGTGGCTGCACCGCCCCAGACACAGTAAGTGAGCCTCCTTCCTTTTTTTTTGGTGGCTGGAAAAAGAGAAGCAGGGCAGGAGGTGTGGGAAAGGGTGGAGCTGTAGCCAAGAGGGCTCAGGAGAGGTCTTTGGCTAAGGAGGAACACATTTCAAGGTCCCTGGGCCTGAGGGAAGAGGTCCGTCCCTGAAACTCACGTTACTTCTTCTGTTTTGTCTACAAGCCTGTGAATTGCAGAGGGCAACCTGCCCCTCGCTAGCTGTGTGGCTTGAAGGAGTCACATAAACTCTCCAGATGTCAGTCTGTTCCTATGCAAGATGGAAACAGTAAAGTCCCTACACCACTGGGTCGCGGCTGAGAGTTAACCCGCCGTCTGGCACTCAGTGGCCTGCCTGGCCCGTGGTCCGATCTGGCGTCCTTGCCATTGCCATTCGTTTTGCCAGCATCATTCCCACCCCCTCTCCTGTGACTTGTCAGGGGCTCTGCTCTTATCTGCCGAGACAGGGCCCCTAATGGTTGAAAGCCTGGATGCTGGGGTGACCGCCTGCCTCTGACTCCAGCCCCAGCACTGGCCGTGGGTCCTTGTGTAAGTCGTAGCCTGCTGGGCTCTGGTTTTCTCACCTGTACAATGGACTGCTGCTTCCTCCTCGGGAGACGGAGGGGGCTGGCGTCACAGCAGCACCTGACCGAGGCGGCTCTTTCACCACTGTTTCCTCTGTGGTCTTTGACAAATGAGCTCTGGGTTGTGTTGTGCATTTGGGGGTGGGGGTTGTGAAAGCTGAGGCCTCTTGGAGCCTTACTCACTGCTGCTCACGGCCCGACTTTGGGGACCCTGGATGCTGAGAGAGTCCTTTTCTAAGGGAAGTGTTAGTGGTGGATCTAGGCCCATGGGGTTTAAGGCCAGGGGCAGCCTCCTTGGTGTGGGAGGGGTGTTCGAGCTGCCGTTTGTCTTTTCTTGGAGTGTGTTGGGGCAGGGTGGCTAATTCTTAGGCAGGTGTCACCCAGCTGGAGGCCTTAGAGATGCAGATGTGGCCCTGGGCCCCTGGAGCAGAAGGCAGTCCTAGATTCAAATCTAGGCCCGGCAGTCCTTATAGAGCTCATTTGTCTCCGGAGTAGGCGGACCCTGGGAGGGGTCCTGCTGGGGTGGCCTCTGTAATTTAGGCCCTAAGTGGGGGCCGGCTTCTCCTCCCTGATTAGGGACCTGAAATGAATCAGCAGTCCTGCACCCAGCCTGGGGAATTCAGAGGTGGCTGTGCTCCCCCAGGATTATAGCCCTCCAGGTGACCCAGGAATGAAGCCACCCAGAAGCTCTGTCTGGTGGTGGATGCTGAGATTTCAAAGTGAGACACAGAGGGGTGTCCAGGGAGCTGGGACGCTGGCTGGAGGGAAGCAAGGAGGGGGTCCTGGCTGAGCAAGTGAGTGTAAATTTGCTGGTGGGAGAGGGGGAGGGCTGGAAGGGGTGTTCACACAGAGGAAGCCACTGAGCAGAGGTGGGGGTGGAAACGGTGTGGGCAGCGAGCAAGTGCACCCCCACACAGGGTCTGGGGCTCTTGGTTCCTTCAGACCACCCTCCCAGAGACCGCCCCCCGCCCCCGCCCCATTCCTGACCTTGGGGTCAGGAGCATGGCAGACTGGCCCGTCCCTCCTGCCTTCTCTCTTTGCGTCTTAGAGACCTGATGACTCTGCAGCCAGATCTTGTGTCTGGCTGGTGCCAGGTGCCATGCTGAGGCTGTGACCCAGTGGTCCCCAGAGCTGGTGCCTACCTATTGCCTTGTTTTCATTAGCCCGCTGGTCAGGGCAGCCCAGGGTGGGCCAGGTGTTTCTGGGAGAAGGGTCCAGGCCTCCTTTAATCCTCCGCCTGCCATACTGCAGCATCACCCCTTGTCCTACAGCTCTCCCTGGAGCAAATAAGCTCTGGGCCCCCTTGAGCACCATCTCCTGGAGGTAGCAGGCCAAGAGCACTGGAGGTTCAAATCCCGTCTCAGCCTCTCACTGCTCGGTGGCTTTCGGCTGCCTGTGGACCCACCCTGAGCCCCAGCTTCCCCATGTATCAGATGGACAGAACATCCACCTCGAAGCATCCTGAAGAATAAGTGAGACTGGTTGTGGAAAGGACTAAATACATATATGGTGTTTGCTTCTGCTCCCGCCTCCTGCCCAGTTTGGATGTTTCCCGTGCGAGGGGGCTGGAGGGGCAGAGACGGGGTGCCCAGAGCCTCGGACTCCTCGGCTGGAGTCTCACCAACAGCAGGATGAAGATCACATTGGAACTCCCTTAATGGGGACCGATGTTCCTGGGCCTTGAGACCCTACAGAGAACTGATCACTGCGTGAGCCCTAACAGGCCTCCATTCCAGCCCCATTGACAGGTGGGAAGGTTGGGGGTGGGACTTGCCCAAGGTCACACACCGAGGTGCTAGCAGCCTCCTGACTCCTTGTCCAGTGCTCTCTATGCGTCCCCCAGCTTCAGTCCCTCCTTCCAGGTCTCCATTTACTTAAGTTCCAGCTCCTTCCCTGGGTGGTGATTTTCCACTCTGGAATCCTCTGGGAGAAGACTCAATCTAGATTGAATTCCTTCTCCTTGTTATCTTTTTTTTTTTTTAACTTCCCTAAAGGTAGTCACTAAGCAAACACTGCTTTGAAAAAGCAAGTCTCCAAGCGGAGGACATTTCACCTCTTGTCAATGCATTTTCTCCATGGCCTCTGCCCCAGGTTTGGAAATGGCCTTGGACTTTGCCGGGCTATGTGTCTGGCCTCCAGAGAAGCTCCTGACAGTACAGTTGCAGTAACTGCCCAGATCCAGGCAGGGCTGCAGCCTCAAAGAGACCTCACTCCTATCAAGGCTCTGTGGGAAAGAGGCAGGGCCAGTCCCAATCCCCACGTGCCAGCTGGTGAGCTACCCAGGCAGGGGTGTGGTGGGCAAAGCCAGTGCCGGGGTCCGGGTCTTCGAGGGCCTGGGAGCTTGGGCTCTGAGCTATAGAGCTGGCTTTAAGTCTTGCTCTTCTACTTTCTAGCTGTGTGTCACTGGGCAAGTGGCTTCCTGTCCCAAGCCTTACTTTCTTAATTAGTAAAACGGGGGTAATAAATCTCCTTTCTTGCAGGACCCTGTGAGGTGTACATAAGTTAACATTCATTCACTGCTTAGTCTGACCGGCGGCATGTGCCGGCTGCTCCAAAAATATTAGATGTCGTTACCCTGGGTCCTGGTTTAGATTTGGTTTTAGAGGAAGCTGGTTGGGCTCTGTACCCTGGAGTCAGATCTGGCTTTGATCCGGCTCTCACTCTACCCCACCTCTAGGAGTCTGCCCAGGGATCACACCTGCCAGGTAGGTGGTTACAAGGACAATTTAGGCCGACTGGCAGTTCAGGTCCAGGGGTTTTGGGTCTGTCTCTGGCTTTGAGGCCTGTGGACTTCCCTGTCCCTTCGCCTGCTTGGCCGCATTGCTCAGAGGAGGCCGCCAGGCTGCTGCTATGGGATAAACAGATCTGCCGGCGTTGCTGGGTGTGTGTTATGCTGAGGCCTGTGGGCGATTTTAGGGTTGGGCTACCCTGCTCAATAATCTTAAGAAGTAAGGGTGGCCAGGACCTCGTCTGTCCTGCTGCTGGATACAGCAGGCTTCAAAGTGCTCAGCTAACCTACGATGCTTTCTTGTTCTTCCATAAGACACGCTGATTACCAGATAATAGTAATAAAATAGCAGCAAATAATAACAGTCACAATTATGACTGTGTTTGCTATATACTGGGCACTGAGCTAAAAACCCAGTCCCATTTACTGCTCCCGTCTCTAGGAAGTAGGCACTGGTATTAACCCATGTCACAAACGGGGAAACTGAAGCTCGGTGGAGTTAGGTGGCCAAGGTTACATATAGATGTATGTGTTCATGCAGAACAGAGACTGGAACCAGAGCCTCTCCACCTGGAGGCCAGGTGTTTGACCACTACACTGTCCTCCAGGGATGTGCCGGGGACCCCAAGTCCAAGCTCATGAGCCTCAGCGTTTGGCTCATGGTGAGGAGTTCGGCTGGCCCTATATGAATGATCCGATTATTCGTGTGTTTATTGGGGGTAAGAACTTTGCCTGCTAATAGATGCTGTCTGAGCTTTGGGAGAACAGTTTCTAAGCAGTCAGTGGGGTGTTCCATGGACCCCAACTGGGGAGCCAAGCGGAGTGGCCTTGGTACTGCTTGTGTGTGATTCTGGGGGAGGCCCCCCGCCCCTCTCACCCCGCACTGAGGTCTTGTAATGGTAGAGGGGTGAGGAAGCGTCTCTCCACCTGCAGGCCAGCTCCATGGGGACAGCGGTTCATTTTTTTTGCGGGGGAGAGGGGTCTTTTGCTTGCTGCTGTGTCCTCATCCTCGTGGCTTAGCATGGTGCCAGGCACCAGGGGAATGCTGAAAACGTCCGTGTTGAATGAATGATGGTACCGTTGGATAGAAGGATGAGTGGGTGGGGTCTGAAAGGTGACTTTCAGTGTCTCCATGAAAATGAGCAAAACACAAACAATATGGAAATGAAACCTTCGAACCCGGGTTCTGACTCTGGCAACTGTTAGGAGCCAGGACAGGGGCCAGCAGGAAGGGACGCTCGGGGTGGTCAAGTAGCCTGAGGCCACACAGCCAGAGTCACCTCCTCCTGCTGATGCTGATGGTGTTGCCTGCTATTTACTGAGTGCTTCCTGCACCTTATCCATCTCCTGGGCACCATAGTCCTAGGAGACAGAGACTGTCGACTATGCCCATTTTGCAGACAAGGAACTGAGGCTTAGGGAGTTGGAGTGATGTACCCAACACCTTGGAGGGCCAGTAAATGGCAGGCCTAGTGCTCGGCCTGTCGTATCTACAATCATCCATTGGAGCCTGCAGGGTTGGCCTTGCCTGGTGGGTTTTGTAGCCTGTGTACTCACAACAAGCCTGAGCTCTCACTGGGGGAGTCGTGGCTGAAAGAGCAGCCCTGAGCACCCCCTCTTCTCTGGCTTCCTGTATTTTTCTGGAAGCAGGCTGTACCTCTCACCCTTCAGTGCAC